TCTGAAGTTTTCAGCACATTCAAGAAATGGAAAGCTATTGTAGAGAATGAAACAAACTTGAAAATCAAGTGTTTCAGATCAGACAATGGGGGCGAATACAATAGCAAAGAATTTGTTGATTATTGTGCTGACCAAGGAATCAGAATGCAGAAGACGGTTCCGGAGACACCTCAGCAAAATGGAGTAGCTGAGAGGATGAACAGAACATTGAATGAGAGGGCTAAAAGCATGAGACTGCATGCAGGTTTACCCAAGATGTTCTGGGCAGATTCGGTCAACACAGCTGCATATTTAATCAACAGAGGACCCTCAGTTCCCATAGGGTTCAAGATTCCAGAAGAGGAATGGCAAGGTCGGGAGATTTCGCTCAAACACTTGAAGGTATTTGGTTGTGTCTCGTATGTTAAAGTTAAAGACTCGGAGAGAGACAAGCTAGAGGCAAAGGCAAGGAAGTGCACCTTTATAGGTTACGGGTTGGATGACATGGGGTACCGCTTCTGGGATAATGAGAATAAGAAAGTTATCAGAAGTCGGGATGTGGTGTTCAACGAGAATGCTCTATACAAGGATGAACTTGCAAAAAGCTCCAATGGTGACAAGCAACCAGAAAAGAAGGATCAAGTTGAGTTAGAAGAAATCTCAGATGATGATGTTGTAAAACCTATTAGTACTCCAGAGATAGGTGAAAGTTCAGGAAGCAGTGGGAGCTCTGATGTATCTGGAGATAGTGGGAGCACAGTGGATAGTAGTTCAGAAGATGAGGTTGCAGATGATGCAGAAACCGAAACTCCTATTATTCGTAGATCCACTAGATCACGAAGACCTCCAGTAAGGTATTCTCCTTCAGCTAATTACTTGCTGTTGACTGAGAATGGTGAACCTGAATCTTATCCAGAGGCCTTAAGGATGAAAGATTCCATACAGTGGAAGACGGCTATGGAAGACGAGTTGAGCTCACTTGATAAGAACCATACTTGGTCCTTGGTCAAGCTCCCGGCAGGGAAGAAAGCACTGCAGAACAAATGGGTGTTTCGGGTCAAAGATGAGATTGATGGCAGTAAAAGATACAAGGCCAGATTGGTAGTAAAGGGTTTCCAACAAAAGAGGGGTGTTGACTACAACGAGATATTCTCCCCAGTTGTGAAGATGACTACAATCAGAATGGTCTTGGGAATTGTAGCCTCTGAAGATCTCCATCTAGAGCAGCTAGATGTGAAGACAGCTTTTCTCCATGGTGACCTGGAAGAAGACATCTACATGGCACAACCAGAGGGTTTCCCAACAGTTGGCAAGGAAAACCTGGTGTGCAAATTAAAGAAAAGTCTGTATGGATTGAAGCAAGCTCCAAGACAGTGGTACTTGAAGTTTGATAGCTTCATGCAGAGGAGTGGGTATCACAGATGTGAGATGGATCACTGTTGCTACTTGAAAGGAACATCTGAGGTTGCCCTATGTTTCAGAAGAAAGGGTGTGATCTTGGAAGGGTTCGCCGATGCTGATTTGGGTGGATGTGTGGATTCAGGAAAGAGCACAACAGGTTATGTGTTCACAATTGGAGGTACATCAATCAGTTGGATGTCCAGGTTACAAAAGAGTGTTGCTCTCTCAACCACAGAAGCAGAGTATATGACTATTGCAGAAGCAGCCAAAGAGCTTATATGGTTGAAGAACTTTCTATCAGAACTTGGAATGCATCAGGAGGATTGTGTATTGCATTGTGACAACCAGAGTGCAGTTTACTTGGCAAAGAATCCAGTGTTTCATAGTAGAACGAAACACATTCAGATGAGGTACCATTTCATTCGAGAATTAATTAATGATGGAACTCTAAATCTGAAGAAAATCCTTGGAACGAAGAATCCAGCAGATATGCTCACCAAGGTGGTTACCACTAAAAAGTTGAAGCTTTGTATGGCTTCAACTGGCCTTTCAGAAGTTTGAGAAAAGGCATGGCAGAGAACGAGAGAGAGAGAGAGAGAGTGTGTGTGACTAAGGAATGTCGCAAAGTTTTGGATGGCAGAGAAAAGCTAAGATGTTCAAGCCTCCAAGTGGGAGATTGTTAAGATTTATGGAGTCTTGAACAAATTGACAAGTTCCTAAGAGTTCAAGGGCCATAAATGTAACATTAATTAACAATTGAATTATTCAATTGTTTAATAGTGAATGTCGGCAAAACATAATTTAATATATATGGACGGTGATTTTTTCAAAGAAACACAAGCGGCCGCACAAAATGCATTGTCAAAGTTTTGGACGACAAAAAAGTAATATTTCAAACTTTGCGGCACACTTTTTTGTGTGAAATGAAGGAAAGGATTACGACAATTCTTACTATAAATATTCATCTTCTTCTTTCAATTGAAAGTGCAGAGCGCAACACACAACTCAAGTTCATATATATACACAGAAAGAAATTAGTGAGGTATTATTTTTGTGCAGAGCCTTAATTTTTGGCAGCCAAAAATTACGAGTGATATCTTACAGTGAGTGATCAGATTACAAGGGCAGATTTTAGCCTTGTATGATTGTAATTTTCTTTGGTGTTAATAAAATCCCCTCTCTCTCGTTCGCCCGTGGATGTAGGTCAAATTAGACCGAACCACGTTAAATATCGTGTTCAATTTCGTTTGCTATTTTTCATTAGTTTTATTCCGCGAGTTTTGCCGAAATCGTTATATCAATTTTTCGGAAGTGCTTAACTTGTTTTGTTGCATTCCCAACAATTACTATATTTTTATGTATTTTAAATATATAAAAATATTTTTTTTACATATTTATATGTATTTTTAAGTATGTTACATATATTTTGTGTACTTTTATGTGCTTTTTATGTATTACGTATTTATATGTATTTTTACGTCTTTATGTATTATTTTAAAAGTTTTTTTATATAGATGTTTATGTCTTTTTATGTATTTTAACTGTATAACCATATTATTTTTAAGTATTTATGTATTTTGTACTTCAAGTTGTCTTCACTATTTCATCTAATTCGCACAGCGTCTTCAAGTATGTCTAGATGGTTTTCCTACATACCCACATAATTTAAGATTTTCCTATTCGATGTTAAATTTTAAGATAAATGAATGAGAAAAACTTAAAATATGTGGGTATTTGAGAAAATCATCTAGACATACTCGAAGAAGCTGTACGAATTGGATGAAATAGTTTAGACGACTTGAAGTAAAAAATACATAAATACGTAAAAAAATACAGTTATACATTTAAAATACATCAAAATACATAAACATCTATACAAAAAAGTTTTTTAAAAAAATACATAAATATGTAAAAATACATATAAATATGTAATACATAAAAACATATAAAAATACATAAAAATATATGTAAAATACTTAAAAATACATATAAATACGTTTATACATTTAAAATACTTAAAAATATAAAACATCTATATAAAAACTTCAAAAATATATAAATTTGTATACATAAAAAGATAACTCATAAAAAATAAATAAATATATGTAAAATACTTAAAAATACATATAAATACGTAAAAAATACCTTTATACATTTAAAATACATAAACAAAAATGTAAACATATACATCTAAAAACTTAAAAAAATACATAAATACATACAAATATATATAAATACGTAATTCATAAAAAAATATATAAAATACTAAAAACACTTAAAAATATGTAAAAAAAAAATATGTTTATACATTTAAAATAAATAAAAGTACATAAACATGTACATTATAAAACTTAAAATATATATATATATATATATATATATATATATATATATATATATATATATATATATATATATATATATATAATAGATATAAATGCATAAAATATACGTTTATACATTGTATATAAGTTTTGACGAAATTTATAGAAAAATCTCATTATTTTGGAAAAAATAAAAAATGACTAAAGTGAATAAATTAGCCGATTTTCTTGGGTTTTTTTATTCAAAAAGTTAAAAAATCGGGACTTTTCTGTTTAACAAATAAAATTTAGGACTTAGTTAATTTTTTTTTTTCCAAAATATTATGACTTTTCTGGAGATTTCTCATTACAAAAGTAGCACTAAGGTCAAAAAACCGGAGGGCGGCTCCTCCTGGCCCCCATGTAGTTCCGCCAAGGTTGGGGGTTGCATTGTCTAATGAAGAAGATGACACGGTAGGTTATATGTTATATTCGTTCAATAATATATTTAGGAAGTTATTGTAATAAAATTGCAAGTTCATTTAAAAAAAAAAAGCTAATATATAAATATAAGGGTATTTTCAAAAAGTTATATATTTGGAATATGTTTTGGGCATTGAAAACGATATAATATGTTGGATTTGAATCACTAATTAGTAATTACATCGAAAAAATATATACCATTTGATATAAAAAAAGGATATAATAGATTAGATATAGTTCTAATGACCAATTTCATTAAGCATATAATAATGTGTTGTCGGCTTTAATCCATGGTAGAGAAACTTATAGTGCTTATGCTCATAAAGGTTGGCTTGTTATCTTGATAATTTTAATTTAAGTCGTTTTACACTTTCTTTTTTCATAAAAAATGCTCATATTTTTTTCGATAAATTTATGAAATGCTTTCACAAAATTATACAATAAATCTTTTGGAATATTTCAAGAAGAGCCAGAACCATAATCTTTATTTAGTAATATATAAACATAAAATACAAAAAATAATTAAAAAAAATGGATAAATAATTGCATAAATTAGTGCAAAATGATAGATACATGTAACTTTGTTACGTAAATAATCGATTAAGCCTGAAAAATAATATTAGTAGCAATTTAGATTTATATGAATTTTGTTAAAATCAATTTTGGCGCGAAAAGCGTACTGTCTTTGGCGCGAAAAAGAGTACGCGTCTTCCTATGTATGTATGTAGAAGCTACGAGCTGCCTAAAGAGAGAACTAAATGATATCCATGTTGTGTGTGTGATTTGAGATCTGTATGCGTCTCTGAATGATTTTTTATTTGCGTCGCCAAATCCATGAAGAAATCCGAGGGACCAAAGGCATCAAAATGCGAAGACGGGGTCGATTTGATCAGTGACATGCCGGATTCTATTCTTCTCTTGATTCTTTCAGGTCTTCGATTGACCCAAGAAGTAATTCGAACCAGCATTTTGTCCAGAAGATGGAGGTATTTGTGGACTTCCATTCCCTCCCTAGATATATTTTATCGCCAAGATAAATTAAAAGAAGACGAATTCAAAGAGTTTGTGTACTGGGTTTTAGGAAACAGATCCCTCGATTTGGATCGTTTTCGTTTAAGCTGCTATTATCATTACACAATGTCGACATTAGGGCGGTGGATTCACATGGCTGTTACAAGAAACGTCAAAAAGCTTGACTTGACATTTTGCCCTAAGAAGGAGTCCGAGGATACCAAGGATATTGAGATGCCTCATTGTTTAGTGACTTGCCGTTCATTGAAGGTATTAAAGCTGTGTTTGCTCGAACATGGTTTAAGATTGCCTAATTTTATAGGGTTTCCTGCACTTAGGGTTCTTCAGTTGTGCTATGTTGTGTTATCAGAAAAAGATTTAGAAAAAGAATTTCTGGAAAGCTGCCCATTGCTTGAGGATTTGCGTTTGGTAGACTGCATCATAAATAAACCTGGTCTTCTATGCATTTCATGTCCGAAGCTCAAGAAATTGAGAATTGATAACGAGGAAAAGAAGGGTTCGTGTGGTGGCATTAAGATTTCTTGCCCAAAACTGGTGTTTATGGAGTTAACAGGTCCTTATCATTTTTTATTTGAAAGTCTAGACTCTTTAGAGGAAGTCGTGATTGAAACTGAAAGATTACCTCCTGCTCCTACAGCTGAGATGATAATCAATGCCATAAGGGTGTTAATTCCTGGAATTTCTCATGTGAAATCTTTGTGGATCAACCTGAGTTTCTTCTTTCAGGTACATTAACCTTTAAGAGCTGTTTCTTTTCTATATATGGGTGTTTCTTTTTGATTTAACCCCAAAAAAACGACTTACTAGAGAAAGTCATGGATCAAAATCTATAGCATCAATTAGACGTTTGAAAGTATCATTTGTTTTCACCAAACCTTCATCATTTGAGTACCTACAAGCGTATTTATTACCATGAATAATAACTCCGAACTCTTATTTGTTATCATTCTTGTAGTGTATTAATGCTGCACGTGATCCTTCTCTACCTAATCTGAAGACTTTGGAGTTAACCACAACAATTTCTGCCTTCACCATTGTTGAACTCATTCAAGTTCTGAAATATTATCCAAAACTGGTGTCTCTTAAGTTGTTCATCAAACAGGTATTCTTATATCAAATAGCATTTTTTATGTATCACATTCTTAGAGCATGTTGGCTCACTTTCAAGAACTTAAAACATTAGTTTGGATTTTTGGTCCCTAACATGAAAAACTTATGGTTTTGTTTGATATGATCTAGGATTTTTGTGGGCCGGAATATCGGGAGTTGGATGAAACCGAAACACGGAGGATCGTGGCTCCTGTTGTGAAGTGGGTTGAGCTATTTGAATATAAAGGAGAAAAGCCAAAAGTAGATATACAGTGGTATCGAAATGCATGGATGGAAATGTTTGCTAGGTGGGGTCAAGAAACCAAGTTCTCTCATTGGTGACTATTAACCCAACTGTCAAACTGACTAACTACTCTTTTGAAGAACTCAAATTACAAGCTTTATGTTGCTTCGTTTTCCACTGTTACTAGAAAATATTTGTTTGGTTCTACAGTTTTGTTCATTGTTTGCTATAAAAACTACAATAATATGTACATAACAAAACCACCACCAATTGCAACATTAGTAGGTGGAACTAAAAACAATCATGTAATTGAACCCATTACAACATTGATATCTAATCAACTACACTATCTGAACATAATATTTGAAATACCAGTTGTAACATCAGTATGTAAATGACATGTATGTATGTGTATATATGTATATGTATGATTGGTGTGTAAGTATGACAGATATGTATATGTATCTATGCAATATATATATATATATATATATATATATATATATATATATATATATATATATATATATATATATATATATATGATAGGTATGCATTTATGCATTGTATATATGTAGATATGCCATATATGTCACATCAACTTGCAAGTATGTCAGTTTTATCATGACACAAAATAGGCCATATTTCAAATCATGGATACTTGTGAGTTTTTTTAAACAAAAATGACCTTACTATTCGAGATTATTCATCCCCAAATTTGGTTTCAACAACTGATGGATTGAGTAAAATATTTCATCTAAAAGGAAAACAAAGTTACACAAAATATATCAATTAAATACAGGTGCATACTTGACATGTAATCTAAGATCAATGGTACGTCATTTTGCTCATACAACAAAGTTACCCAAAATAAATCAATGCCTTCTTGCTATTTCCAATTCAATTTCAAAAACAGTATTTTATCCAAATTATATCTAATCAATTTGTATTTTATCTTATAAATTGATGATTCTCATAAAAGAAAATAAAAAGTTATTAATATAGAAGTCGCTATTGATAAACCATGAGATTGCGTTTTGAAAATGTAGATAAAACATTAGAAGCTCATGTTAAGTGTATGTTATGAAGATCTTGATACAGTAGTTCCATATCCTAGAAGGAATTTTTTGCTTAAAATTTGAAAATAAGGGGGATGTTTTACTGCAGTGAGACTTGAGATCAAACTTTCTCCAAATTGCTATGATGTTAATAACTTAGAGTATATAATGATTAATCTTGTGCAAAATAGGATAATCGTATATACATTTAAGGAACAGTTGATGATAATGACCATTTATTCTTTGGAAAAAGAACGTTGAACTAAAATGATGCTTAGATTATAATCATTTGCAGTCCAAAACAGAAATTAACTAGCTTTTAGACAATATGAGTAAGATAATGAACATATACGCCAAATAATAAATAATTAGGTTTAGTGTTAATATTTTTGGAATTTTGTTTGCCGCATTTTGAAATTAAACCTTGGTTACTAACTAAATTTTGTAGTTTTTTTTAACCATTTTTATGATTAATTATTTATGGTATCCAAATGCATATTGTAACAATTGGTATTTTTAGGTCGAAATAGGTCGACCAAACCACCGCAATAAAACTGTTATATTATAACCAAGGAATAAAACGATGGAATAATATATATATATATATATATATATATATATATATATATATATATATATATATATATATATCACACAAAAATTCATAGTCTCTTACCGAACACCCCAACTTATTAAAAATATTGTCTAACGATAAGAAGAGTTACAAATATCGTGTATTGACACCTGAATTGAGAGTAGCTATATGTGTCAAGTAAAATATATATATACAAATGTAATATCGTCTAGTCCACAAGAATTGAGATTTGCATAAATTATTAATACTAGCTATGCACTCATTATTACCTCCATGCACGTATAAAGTTTCTTGGAGAAATCTTTATGACTAACTCTATAATAATAATAATAATGGAGAAGGAATCATCACAAAACTTGGCTGCATGCAAAACCCTATTCACCTCCATAATTTCAATTACCATCATTTAGTTGTGTACGTGAATGCATTGTCAAATCCATAGCAATACTCTCCTCTTAAACTACCACCAAAGGTTATGTACCTTTTGTCATCAAATACCTTAACCAATATGAAGAATAGTTTCCCTGCACCTTTTCTTCTATTTGACTATGTACAACATGTATCCTCAATTAAGCAACCTTATTCTCACCACACAATAGAGCAAGTTGATAGAATTCAAGAGTCAATATAAACCCAAGACTTGTTGCTCAAATGTGGTAGCGAAACTCACGTAAACATCCTATCGTTCTACTTTTTTTTTCTCTGAATTTATAATCCTCTAAAAGAACACCCATTTGGAGGCATCATACTCAAATATTCCAGCAAAAACAAAAGCATGCGATACCCTTTTATTTCAGTCCTTTGTTCCAATAATTAAACAAGCCAATAATACCATTGGGAAGCTGTCAAGAACACAACTGCCTTCCTCCCTTTTTTTTCTTTCATTACCAGCCACAACGGCAAGCAGAAAGTAGCGACAGGCTGCCAAAAAAAAAGGAGCCCATCGCCAGCCCACTGCCACCGGTAAACAGCCCTGTTGTTCTCGGTTTCTTTCTCCTTCGACCAAGCTGAAAAACGGGAAGCATCCTCTTGATTAAAAGTTACCAAAACAACCCCGGATCATCCCTTGCGGTTTACTACGAAAAGCTTCTAAAAAACGAACCGAAACACGCAACGAAAGTGAGTCTTTATGGCCCCATTTTCTTTAAGTTTTATAAACATTTGGGGTGAGATATATACATGTCTTGCATGCTGAATATGAAATTTTATTATCATTATATGATACATATTTAACATCATTTATAATGGGTTAGCACACGACACTTTAGTTATATTGAACTAACATGCAAATGGATCTATGAAATGGTTACATGCATTATAAACAAATTTTCATATTATATTATGACGTAATAAAACATTTGGTATAAAGTTATTATCCGTAGATATAAATATATGTATTGGTATTATCCTTGTGACATAAGTCCATGCAAGTATTTTTGGTTGATAATCAAAACTAATTATTAGTGTTAGAATGGTCGTTAATAAAACAAACCAAGAAAAGTATAGACTTAGGACCTACTTTGTTAATTTATTTACAAGCAAGGTCTAAAGTGTAAATATAATATGAGATAACTAGACTTATAGATACATAAGTGTTTCATTGGATTTATGTTATAAAACATGATTATTTTATATAAAATTGTATTTTATATAAAAATGGAGTTTATAAAAAGACCTTGTAACATTTTATAAAATACGTAGTTTTTATACAATATGATTATTTTTATATAAAATAGTTATTTTATATAAAAATGGAGTTTATAAAAAGGTCTTGTAACATTTTATAAAAATAAGTAGTTTTTATAAAATATGGTAATTTTTATATAAAAATGATATTTTATATAAAAGTGGAGTTTATAAGGAGATCTAGTAGTATTTTATAAAAATGAGTAGTTTTATAGAATATGAATGTTTATATAAAATAAGATATTTTATATAAAAAGAAAATTTATGAAAAGGCTATTAACGCCTCAAGAAAACAAAGAATTGAAGTCATATTTTTATGCCTTCAATATATATATACATACATATTTACATACTTTTAAAAATATATGTATAATAGTGTATGTACAACCATATATCCGAATGTGACGATAAAGAAACGCAAACATTGTTAAGGCTCGTAATACAAATGACGACAAAAATCTTAGACTTAACATTTTAAGGATATTCTGTATGAGAAACACTTCATCGCTAAGAACTCAAAAACTTAGTATAAAGCCCTCTGTGTATAACCGTTAATCCGAAAGGAACGTGGAACATTGGTATAGATCTATACGGGTTGACAACCCCGCCTGCGGTTGCTAGCTACAACCATCGTCTAACGAGTCAAAATGGGCGTAATCGTTCAGTCACTTATATATTTCACGACGTCGATGAAGCGTCGTGATGGTCACAGTACATCTGCTCACCGTACTGCTTTACAGAGGCTTGCGCGTCCATAGTTCGGTTATAGGCTCATACTAGAGCCCATAAATTTTAATCTAGAAGTTTTATCGTTAAAAAGGAACTTTTGAACAAAATGGATAAGTGTTGAAAACATTATTATATATAATTCGTATTTATAATATTTTCAATACGGTACTCACGACTCATGATTTCTTGGTTATAAACAATGAACCAACACATTTTACTTGTATGTGATTACAAGTGCGGACTAAATACATATTTATAATCTTAAAAGGGCACAAATTTATTTTCGATTATAAACTATTGGAGTCTAAACCTATAAAGCTCACCAACATTTTTGTTGACGTATTTTTAAAACATATGTATCTTCAGGATCTTAAAAGCTGGAAGAATGTCTGCAGGGTAAGGAGGATATTTCTCCTTAAATAAACTATTGTCCGAGTAACCGGACCTCTTGATATATGCTTTATTGAACTTGAATCATGTATTAGTCGTCGTTTGGGATTTATTAAACAATGTATTTCTTCTTTTCATACTTTGGAAGAATGTAATGTTATTTGAATCCTGTAATATTCGATGTATGTTGTTAACTATGAACCAACGTTTCACGTCGCAACCCCGGTGATTCCGCCATCGGTCGGGGTGTGACAGATTGGTATCAGAGCTAAACGACTATAGCGAATAGTACTTTCCTTAAAGGGAGCACAACTATAGTCTAAGGGCTTACTCTTTTAGGGCTAGTCATTCTTAAACCTAAAATCCTTAGGTCTATCCCCATAGATCTATATCACTTAATAATTAGGTTCTTAATGATAAAGACCCTATTCTTAGATTTATTCCAATAAATCTATGAATAATAAGTATTATTAATTATACCTCCCAAAGTAAACAAATGATAATTTATAATACACACACAAATACAAGATATAAAGTTATATAAAACTCAATTCCTTTATGAGAAAACACTAATCCAAGATAAGAAAAATACAAGAAATTAAAAATCAAATATTCAACTAGGTTCCTTAGTACATGCGTC